CAAACATTGGCAAGAAAAACAATGGAAAGTCCAACAAAAAYAAATTCCGTTACTTTTACTCTCCTAATTAAAAATTAATCCTWTGGGAGGAATAAGACCGGAAGTTGTATTCCTTTCTTCTAGTTTTCCAAGAAATAGAAAAGTCTAATTGTTTTAGTTTTGTATATATTGTTTGCTTTGGCATTAAAGGATTAGATAATTTCATCTTGAAGTAATAGATCTAGGTTTWAACTAAAATCTTTAGTCCTTTACGCACAMAAAAACCTGTAGTTTATTKAAAAAACTAGTTTCGTCTTACGACCTTATCAATTCTAAAATAAACGGTTTATAAGAATAAAGGAGAAAATTAAAATGTTAGGCTAGAGACAAATAATTGTACGGTCCAATGTATTTTGGAAATGATTGTAGAACTATTACTTCAGATGAAATTGTTTTAGTATTAAGAAACATATGGCATAACAGTAGTATAGGAGGTCCAAGTTCATTCACCTTGGGAAAAACCAACTGCCTGTGAGTGGTCGCTTGACAGAATGGGAGCGTTTAAAAGAGTTCACCTTTGGATTAAATATGTATGAAAAGCGACTTTTGATGAATTCATAACAGGAGGTGCCGTTTATTATTTCTCTTACAAATCTCCCAAGGTAGAAAACGTTCAACAACATTTAATAGATCCTGCTTAATACATGCACAGTACTTTTAGGTACTTTCGGAGAACAATGCGTCCGCCATCTTGAAAAGTGACACACAAATCATTATGTTGTGCCTTGTTGTTCGTAGTTGCTAAGTCAACTAATCTATCATTATATCGCATTATATTAACTTGACATTAGCTGAGAATCCTTTTTTTTTTTAATTAAAAATCCTTTAGGAGTTAGAATTTAGTGATTCTAGTCCCATTTTTCAAGATGGCGGACGCATTGTTCTCTGAAAGTACTGATGCATGTATAAAGAATCTATGTAGTGGAAGATTTCCTGGGAAACAGTTAAAAAAATCAAATTGGTCTTCTCACTGTGTTTATATTCTTTAAAATTAAATAAATACATAAAGTGTATTATGACTTTTTTTTGCAAAAAATAGAGCTATTGTTGTTGTTGTTTTTCTCTTTTAGATTTTTTAGATTGTTGTTCATGAAATTTTATCTCAGGCTAAAGTCAGCGTCAAGTGATCGAGTTATCAGCCTTTTAATGACATTAGGGTAAATAAGGTAAGAAGTGTCTGTTATCTGTTTTATAAGTTTTTACCAGGTAAGATTTCGAACTTCCGACAATGGTCMTTGATGAAGAACATGATTTAAAACTGTCAAGAATGGAAAAGGCTTTTTTTTTCTTTCTTGGCAGCTTTATGAGGTCAACAAAAACCGTTKTCTGAAAGTCGAATGTTTTCCCAGTAGTAAAAACGTAAAAAAAACATAGGACTTAATGTMAATATAAAATTGAATCGCAATTTCGTAATGTTTGGTGGACAGAATCCTAAACGTAGACATTGAAAAAATGAGTCTAAAATCAACCACAGAAGTAATTACAAGATTTCCAGGACTTTATAAGTGATCCTCTACCAAATATAAGTYAAAAAGTCGGCGTTTTTGACTAAAAGATCAAATTCACAAACAGGCAGTACCRGCGGTAAGAAGATTTAATACAGGTCATGAAGTGAAAAATGGACCAATCGACAGAGATCAAGAAAAAAGGGCAGGTAACCTAGTATTTTTTTTTTGTTTTTTGTTTTCCCTTTGAAACGCAAGAAAGGGAATAGAAGGGCRCAAATCAAGGACTTGATTAACAAAAGAAATATTTTTTTGTTATAAAATAACATGATCCATCGATCAACATAAATAGAGACGACTTGTATGCTATAAAAAGATGTGAATCAAAATTCGAATGCTTTGTATCATGTCATATATCACCGATTTTAGACCTTCTCTCAATGTGCAGGAAGACTTTTTCATAAGGGCTAAACTCTTTATTTATTTAAAATCGTATTTATTTGGTTGATGAAGTTGACATTTACATTTTTTAAGTTTAACATTTATCATGGATTGAAGACGACACCGGAACTTCTTGCTTATCTCTATCGTATTTGTGTCATTACTTTGCCCAAAAAACTACTCTTAGTATGCATTAGATTGACTATTCGGTTAAGATTTATTGTCATCATCATCAAGAGCATCCATTATTATCTATTCACCATCAGTTGATGCCATGTCAGCAATTGCCTAAAAATTATAAGAAAAAAAAGATTCATTATGAAGAGATTATTGTTTCAGAAAATGTTGAAAATAGTGTATTTAAATGATGTCGAATCATCTTTCTAAAAAAGTGAAGATTATTGTTTCAGAGTGTCTTTTAAGACTTAAAAGTGTCAGCTCTAACCTTGGATGAAAACCAATTTAGCTTAGAATTGACTTTTTTTGCAATTAAAATGGTGGAAACTAGCGGTAAACTAGTGTGAGCAAGCTGCGTCGGCATTTCTATTAAAAGAAACAGTTGTGTACGTAGGAAGATAAATTTAAAACCGTAAAAAGTATAGGTGAACTTACGGACGTTTCGGAAGTTTTAAAATCTTTCGTCGGAGTAAAGAGGATTAACGTCCCAAATGTTAGTATGTTATTTCACCTACTTTTTCACGGTTTTAAATTAATTTTTTTCTTAACACAACTGTTTTGTTTTTCAATTGCACTACTGGATTTTGGAATACATATGCAGCGCTCAGTTCTCAACTTCCAGCTTTCCAACGACCAGAATGTTGTACGACAATCAGAGTGGTGGTCGTTTTGCTGGGAAAGAAAATATATCTCTTTGTCACAGACTAGTTTACATCCCGGCCCGTGAGGCACGGGATCGTGACGTAATAACTCAGGTAATCCGCATTTTTCTAAAAGCGCTCGTCGATAAAACATCGTGCACATTCCTTCTTTTCTTTCTCTCATACAATAAATGGACGGCCTGTGTTGTGATTTAGATTGGAATTGGAATATACCGCTCCATCAGGTATAAAATGAGAAAAAGCAACTTTGTTATGAACTTATTTGTAAAAAGACATAAAAAAGATTGTACGGATATAAACTGTCGCTTGCGTGGTTTATCATAAGCAAGCAGATTAAAAGCACATTCTGTTCAACAAGTATGTCACATGACACAAGCAAAATTTCTGAATAATAGATGCGCACCTTTCTGATCTTCCAGTAGTTTCTGCCATCTGAAGGAGCCAGTTGTCCAACTCTTTTATTTATCGTATATCGTTGAGGGGTATAAAGTACACCGTAACCAACAAAGGTAATTTTTCTGTTTTCAATCCTTAGATGGTAGTCGCACCATTTACCTTTCTTCTTACCACAGCCAGAATATTAACAAAGTAGCTATAAACGCCAATTGCCGTCACCAGCGACTATTCCTTTAGATAAATTGTTTATGCTTTGAAGATTATCATCTTCTTATGGAAACATAATCATAATCATTTGGAAATTGACATTATTGGTAAAAAAATGGTTAACAATTTTCTAGATCTCGTCAATGAAAAGTTGGAAAATCAAGTCACAATTCAGAATCGCGAATGTAATTGTGTAAAATTGTGTAAGAGACTAAGTGGTAACTTACTATTTCCAGTCAGATCCCCCGATTTCCCACAAAACGGGGTCATCCGAGTCGATGTCCACATAGGCCTTGCCATCAACTGTTGTCCATGATAGCAGCGAATCACAATATGCGTACTTCTCTTTGCATTTGAACTTATTCACAATGCTGTACGTGTTTCCCGCGTGTGGGACTAGTTTCCAGTAACAGTTGAGATTATTATGAGGCACAAGTGTAGTGTAAGGATTGCCATCAGGTTGGAATTTCTTATCCACTCTTTTCCAATCCAGGTCTTTGAGTCCAGCGCTCTCTGGGGTCATAAGGCAATGCARGCCAGCCATGGAACGATCATATTTACCCAAATTCAATATCTTAGTGGAGAAAGTGTCCGTTATGAYGTTGACATCTGGATCAAAATAAGGAATGATCGCACTGTCGTAGTCGACTGCGTAGAGCTTGCCGAGTATTACTTTCGCYGTTTCTCTTAATGACGTCTGATAGAGTTTTAACCCATTAAGGAAACTGTGCCAAGTTCCAGTGGTCGGTATCATATCAATATACTGCGTTAGGATGATGATACGGTACACTGTTACTTGTGCGTACATCTCGCAATATCTGATGGCTTTTCTTGMATCGGCAACTTGGTTCTTGTGGAACATCCTATTTATTTCCCTGCCAAGCCTTCCCATAAACAGTTGTCCTAGTAATCCTTGCWCTTCACGATAGGCCCGAATCAATAAAACTCTATTCAAAGGTCTCCGAAACTGTGCGGTTCTGTCTAAGTACACCTTTGCACGTAGAAATGCTAATAGCATTCTCTTGCTTGCTCTAGAGAGTTCCTSGTGGCGATATTTCGATAGAGCCTCATTTATCTGTTCTCTAACAACTACAGTAAAGGTCTTTGGTTTGGGTCCTTTACCAAATAAGCCAAGAAGAGCAGAAACAAAACCCTTTGGTCCAAAATTACTGGATATGGAGGCMAGGATGTTAGTCGCTGCTTTTGTAGCAGCTATAGAGTCTTCGCCAGCATTGCCATACGCCTCGATGTTTGAATTTATTATACTTAGAGTTTCTAGGGCACGTTTCTTGTTATCATCGGATAAATCGTTCCATTTACTATCTAAACTTGATAAGGAGTCTTTTGCACGAGATGGCAATGGACCACTGAACGTGGAAAGTTTGGTTTTGACTGCAGCAATGAGTTTGTTTTTACGAACTGCATGTGCAAAATATCAAAAATTAAAAAAGTCTAAATGTAGGGATAGTCCCGTCCATTTCATCGYTGTGTCTCATTCTCTTCTTTAGAAGTAATTCATTACGTCTCTAMTACCTTGCACAAACAATTGTACATTGAATATAATTTTRTATTTTTGAGATGCAAACATTACCTTCATCTTGGAKCTCAGTTACTGGCTGGTTATTGTATTGTTCATAATTCTTGTCASGGGTTTCCTGATTTGACATCTTTTCAGCCAACTCCTGGGACTAGAAAATTCCAAGATGTATCATTGTCACTTTGAAATCGATGTTACGAATATCATGATTACATTCCTGTGTCTTGTAATGCATCAAAAACGCTTACCATTTTTTTTGAACTTTCTACGCCATTCTTCAGTATCTTCTTCTTGAGTTGCGAGTTCAAGGAGCTTTCGGCTCATCTCACTTGGTGAATAACCTGTTAAGAGATAACCTGTTAAGTGGCTAGTTGTAGACTAGTGGTTAACAGCATTCTTGTTTGAACTGTTTTAATTTTCCAGAATAATACTCATTTGCAAGTATTTAGTTTTAAACTKACCACACTGATTCTTTTTTATTTTTTTTTTTAATTCTCAATGGATCCTTATAGTGGTGTGTTCACACACCACGCATTGATTCCATCCTATAATGGATGGCATTAGCTAATCACTGTCATGATCATGTTCATGTGTGACACATTTATAATCGTCAATCAACCGACCTAAATATATTTACTCGTTTGATCAATAAACAGCGTCGTCTTAGTCTGCTGGCCATTGTGTGAAAATATTACAATCACAATCAAACATTCGGCGGACGTTTCAAAGGTTTTGGCGGAACCCAAAACAAACATCGAGCCTCTTATTCAAAACATATATTATTATATATCTTGGTACCTGATTGGTCATATTCCTCGGACACCTATAATATAAGAAAAACATTAACAGTAAAGGTAAATATTAGGAAACAAAAGGTACTTTTAAGATACCCCAGAATAGTCAAATAACGTTCAAAGTCTCAACATTTGACCCAATAGTTCGATGGCCATTGGACTAATAGCTCATGGATCATTAATGAGTTCTAGAATCATACACATACACAATGAAGAAGAATCCACATTGGACCATTTTCCATTCATCTTAATTTATTGCGTTCTGGTTCATTGGTGCTGACTATTTGTCTMTAAATAGCCTCTATTTGTTAGTATTTAGTTTGATTTTATTTCATGGTATTCCTGCGTTTGCGCTAGTGCATTCCAGTATCGAAATGCATTGTAGGTTGTCGTACTGTCACCATAAATAATGCTGAAATGAGAGAAATCCCCWGGGTATGAGTAAGGATATTTATCTTTAAAAAGCCAGAACTAAGATATACTAATAACTGATATAGAAACACCCCTCGCGTCGAGTGTATAATAAATTCGACAGTAAGAGGAACATCACGCGGCCGACCTTTTGATATTCAAGCTTATGCTTACCTTTCTAAACTTCCAATAGCCTTTGTCATCTGAAGGTAGCAGTTGTCCAACTAATTTAGTTGAACTCGAAACTTTTCTGTGTTTCATCCTTATATCGTAGTCGCACCACTTACCATATTTCTTACTGTTCATCTTGCCACAACCAAATTTGTTTCGAATACTTAGCAATASAAAAAAATTAATAAATTAATATTTAATGATAGTATAAAAGTAAATATAAATTTATAGTACTCTCAGCGACGTTATTACTAAATTAGCTTTTGCTTATGTCTGAAAATTATATGTATAAATACAGTACAAAGTGACATGGCCCAGCAGCATCTTTTTCGAGCTTTTGCCATGTTTGAAAATAAAAATACATCGTATTCTAACCAAAAACATTTTCTTTGTTATCACTTTATACCATATGAATGGAGATACTGTAAGATTCGACCTTTAACTCTTTGTCGACGGCTGTTGATTTGATGATTTTTGAGCTTTTTCGACCCCAACATCTTGATAGAATAATTGACTCCYGTATAAGGTGCTGTCAATAAAACTATTTCGGATTTGAATTCCCTAGGGAGCGTTATATGCAACGCCTTGTAAATCTAGTTCAGACCGTTTGTTTATCGAGCGGTTGAGCCTAAATGCACGTCAAAAACCGTTTATAAGTGTATTTTTTTTTTTTGCTTTTTGCTGCCACAGGAGCCCCTAGGCTTGCATCATTAAGCTTGAGTAGTCGGCAGAAACAATCCTCCGGAAGAAGTCAGAGGTGGAAAGCGATTTTTCGAAGAAAATGGCTCCCAGTAACAGTTTTCTTTGAACTGGAGACWTCAGGGTAAGATCGCTTTTCTGGTCCTTTTGTGGCCGATTTTCGACACCTCTACAAGGTAATCAGTTTGGCAATATTTGACATCCAAAGAATTCAATCGGATATGTTACCTGTAGATGCAGAGGAGCTCACACTTGTAAAAAAATCTTAAAACAAGAATGGTGCACGATTTATGTCCCATGATGCATTTCGATCGTGCATACGAGTTTGTWGTACCGGGTCTTCAAAAGATGGCTGTTGAGAAGTCAGCAGTGAATTTGATAAAATAAAAACGTCGAAATGAGGACGTTCTATCAACGGGGTTTGCAAACGAAGTGGACTTTTTGCTAGGAGAACATATTTTGACGCTACTAATTGAGATGAAACACTGTTTAATGCGGTCCTTTCAAACGTAAATTTTGGCATTCATTTCAAAGCAGAGTACTGTTTTGTATCTTTTTTTCCTTGTTGCGAAATTCTTTCAACTGTAAGATCGACARTATCTGCTAATAAGTTCGTACGAGCAATTTCAGGGCTATAGTTTACTATTTCGTAAACTTATAGATCAAACGCATAGGTCGAAGTTTGACCTAAATTTCAAGGGGCAGTCGGGAAAGAGTTAAACTGAAGGAATGAAGCAATAAATTACATAAGTATAATTCAAAGCGACGAAGYGCAGACTAACATAACTTACTATTTCCAGTCATCCGAACCCCCCATTTCCCATAAAATTGGATAGTCCGCGTCGATGTCCACATAGGCCTTGCCATCWGCCATTGACCAGGATARYKGCSAGTCACAAAATTSGTWCTTYTCTTTGCATTTGAACTTATTCACAATGCTGAACGTGTTTCCCGCGTGTGGGACTAGTTTCCAGTAACAGTTGAGATTATTATGAGGCACAAGTGTAGTGTAAGGATTGCCATCAGGTTGGAATTTCTTATCCACTCTTTTCCAATCCAGGTCTTTGAGTCCAGCGCTCTCTGGGGTCATAAGACAATACAGGCCAGTCATGGAACGATCGTATTTACTCATATTCAGAATCTCAGTAGAGTAAGTGTCAGTTATTACGCTGACATCTGGATCAAAATATGGAATGATCGCGCTATCGTAGTTGACTTCGTAGAGCTTGCCAAGTACCTTATCTGCACGATCTCTAACGTCCTTTCGAACATATGCTAGCCAATAATCGTGATAAATCCAATCTGGAGTGTGCGGTACGCCCATGGCAATATACTGTGTTATGATAATGTTATGATATAGCGCTAGGTGTGCGAACATCTCACAATATCTAATGGCTTTTCTTGCATCGGCTACTTTGTTTTGGTCGAATATCCTTTTTATTTTAATGCTAAGYTCTCTTATAAGCCGTATTCCTAGCAATTGTACAGTAGGCRCTTTAATATAGGACTGCTYYGCTTGCTKYTCATTTAGACGTTCGCGCGTCTCTGCAGCTTTRTCTAAGAAAACTTTAGCAACTTCAAATTTTAATAGCACTTCCTTGCTTATTCTAGAGAGCTCCTGGTCGTGGTATTTTGATAGGGTATCATTTATGTGCTCTTCAACAACTACACCCAAAGTCTTTGGTTTTGGTCCTTTACCAAACAGACCAAGAAGAGCAGGAACAAAACCCCGAGCCACATGTCCATGATAACCATTCTCAAAATTACTGGTTATGGAGGCCAGGATGTTAGTCGCTGCTTTCATAGCACCTACAGAGTCTTCACCAGCATTGCCATACGCCTCGATGTTTGAATTTATTACACTTAAAGCGTTTAGGGCACTTTTCTTGTTATCATCGTATAGATCGTTCCATTGTCTATCTAAACTTGATAAGGAGTCTTTAGCAGTAGATCGCAATGGACCACTGAACGTCGAAAGTTTGGTTTTGACTGCAGCAATGAGTTTGCTTTTACGAACTGCATGGAAAAAAATATCAAAAATTAAAAGAAGTCTAAATATAGGGATAGTCTTGTAAATTTCATCGTTGTGTCTCATTCTTTATTTTCTCTTCTTAAGAATTAATCCATTAACTCTCTATGATCTTGCCAAGGTCGCTGGAACTGAAATTATGAGCTATAAGGTCGAGAAGTMGCTCAATTTATCCAACCTATGAYAGTCGATAATAAATAAAGTTTTACTTATATCTGAAATGTATCGTCCTGAATATGTCGTCTAAGCCACTAAAAAGCCCTTGCTTTTACAAAACTCATTCAAATGRTCGTTACTCAAATTTAATACCGCTGTCCTTGTTGTACCAGCCGCTATATATCACTTTGCCTTTGGTGYTCGGGCAGGGCAWAGTGATTTTAATAACGTTCTTGGCGAGACAACAGTGCCTGGTACAACAATTTAATYTTTTTAGCTCATAATTTCAGTTCTAGCGCCCTTGATCTTGCACAATCCATTAAAAACAAGTGTACACTGAATATAGTTTTATATATTTTGAGATTCAAACATTACCTGCATCTTGGAGRTCAGTTTTTGACTGGTTATTGTATTTTTCATTATTCTTGTCAAGGGTGYCCTGGTTTGCCATCTTTTCAGACAACTCTTTGGACTACAAAATTTCAAAATATATCTTTATCATTGTAAGTTCGATGTTACGGACAAACTCTTACCATTTTTTTGAACTTTCTAAGCCATTCTTCAGTTTTCTCTCCTTGCGTTGCTAGTTCAAGGAGCTTTCGGTTCATCTCGCTTGCCGAATAAACTGTCAAGAGATGGTGAAATAGCTAGTAGACAAGTATAGCTAGTAGCTATCAGTCCTTAATTTGTTTGGTTTATATAATACAGCCGTTTGCAATAATTCTGACC